TCAATATAGAGAATGCACAGGTTTCTAAGAAAATAAAAAGGCAAGAAACCAAATATATATATACATATATGTATATAGTTAAGTTTTCTCTAAATGCTAAGCAATCAGCTAATGCTTTCTGTCTCATTATACTTTTAATCTATCACAGTATCAAAACGGTGGCCACTGCATTATCACTCGCATTTATAACATGAATTGTCATGAACTTTAGAGATGAAGAACTTGGCGTGATTAGTCCTCCACCTCATTGATGAGGTGCAACATTTAAGAACTCTAATACACTGAAGTTAAGAGTGAGCACCAGCTGTTTTCAAACTGTTTAGATATAAACGTCTCATTTTTTTAAATCCTGAAAATGAATTCTATACTGGTTTACAGACAAACTCAGCATTTAATAGGTTAATTGGAAGCTTCTTGAGGAACCCAATTTTCCTTATTTATCTTTAAATAACTTTCATCAGAACTTCATATATACTTAAACCAAAACCAAATCCTCTTCTAATTTCAGCTAGTTTATCACCATGTCGTACATTCAAATTAATGAATTACATTTTACATTGGACTCCATTTAAAAAAAAAGCTAAATTAGAAAGCAATTTGTAGGTCAGTAATTCTCAAACTATACATAATCGCTAGTGGAATGAAAAATGCAAATCCCTAGGTCATACCATCAGAGACTGACTCAGTTACCATAGAAAGAGGGCCTCAATCGACCTCTTCAATAAACACCCCATTGCATCTGATACAATTTGTCTAATACTTTGAAAGCTACTCATGTGATTAAAAAAAAAAAAGGAGGATTCTCATAATTTCTGCACCAAAAAAGTTCTATTAGTGCATATGGTATTTTCTGATGAATAGTCAGGAACTAATTAGTCAAAATTCTTGTGCTTTACAAATCTTGACACCTACACAATGAATAAGATACCCTGCCCTAAATTTTTTCAATATTTTAATTCCTTTTAGACCATCAGAGTTAGATGAAAGAGTATTAGAACTGTATCATTCAGTATCCCATAGGTGAAACTTTAGAGTAAATAAGTTCTAAATGAATTTACCCCCTGTGCTTTTTCAAGAAAGCTTAGAGGAAACTGAAGGTCCTCATAGCAGTGTCTTGGTTGAGGAGGCTCTATAGTTCCTTGAGAGCCGATTTCAAAAAAACAAAACAGGAGACAGTATGTACTAAGACCTCTTAACCTAAGAGAAGGAGCCTCCCAACAGGAAACGAGAGATTAAACAATACTGACAGGTAAATCATTTCCTAGACTTCCGGTGACTCTTGGCAGCAAAAGGCTGTGCTTTTGGAAGAAAAAATAATCAGCCATAAAGTGACTAATTTAATCAAGTGACTTATTACAAATAAGAAAACCCAATATTTGTCAAGATGGGCTTGTAGCAGCTTGCTGCGTGTTTGCTTCCGAAAGACAACGCAAACACTGACTTTACGGCCATACTGCATCCTCTTCCCACAGAAAAATTTAACAATTTTCTGGATAACTTGATTAAATAAGTAAGACAGGGCCTCTCAAGCTGGCCTGCTTGGGCTTGAATTATTAGGCCAATATAGGATGAAATTTCATGATACCCAGTACCTGAATCAAAACAAGTTAAATATTCCATGTCTTTGCTAACATAAGGAACTTGGTATCATGAACTTCAGAATCCAAGACCAAAGAGACTAGAAAAAACACACCCATGGTCAGCAAGAATACATTTTTCCCTCAATTATAAGCATTGATCTGTGTACACTGGATGCCTAACACACAGAGGACAGTCAATAAATGTTGAAGTGAACTGGTTTCTCTGGTCTTGAATTAGCCTCATGGCACTCATTCTTAATACTGTTTATAAAGAAAAAGTCTAATTATTAATCTTTTAGGGACATCTCCTGAATGAATTAGTTAAGATTTTTTTTTTAACCTGCAAAAATAGGCAAATCAGCAAATCAGCAAAAGAGGAGCCAAAATGAGCTCTTACAGGATTCATATGGTTACGTGGGTCAAGTGCTCAGTTATTTCTCCCCTGATGGCTATAATTATCTCTGAAAAATCACCAAATCTCCACTTTACTTTAAAGCAGCAACCACAAGATAATCTTACAGTTACAGTGAAGCTATTTCACTGAAATGCTGTCCTTGACATAAAATGGTTTCTTTTTTACTGTGAAAAACAAAAGGTAAAATAAGACAATACAGCTCAGTTTAATTTCAAACGTTAATATATTTTCTATTTTATATTGAACATATGCATCTGTAACCCCTTATTTGCAGCAACTACCACATCCTCATAAAAGGGGCTAAATTTGTAAGATGCCTCTTAAAATAAATATTCTTTTTTATAAAATAATAAAACTTCAAATAAATATTCTTTACACTAAACAATATGTTGAAAAAATTAGAAAATAAAGGTTGAATTTTACTGTAACTGTACAATATACATGAAGTCCAAAGGGAAATCAGAGTCTTACAATAAAGGCTTTCTGTAAGGCAAAATACAATCTAAAAACATACTGATTGATTCACATTCTTCCGAATGTACAACATATTAGTATAATATTTTGTGACTGTGCCACGTAGTGTGGCACAACTTGTTTTTCACAGTTGCAAATATTATTGTATGTACAAAAATATAGCACATTATCTCTGGAGAAAACAGTGGGGGGCTGGGGGGAGTCATTTGCTAATTTACAAATTTTGCAAGTACTATTCACAAACAAAAACTTTGCTTAGGAGTGTCTGTTGCTTTAGCTAATGCAACGCGTAAGTCGCCAAGATCTGTACTCCACACTGAGCTCCATTAGCTGAGTTCTAACAAGCATATCAGTTAAAATGGCACATGGACAAAAAGCATTTCACTGCAAACACCAAAGGATATCTCAACCCTCTATTAACAGTGCCAAGATTATAACTGTTTAGTCGGTTGCATATGTGTGTGTTAAAAAAAAAAAAGGAACAATTCTTCTTACTGCAATATTCCTGATTAATGATGCTATGTCGGTTTTTCAAAGTTCCTGGGTGGGACAGTGGGAACTTTGCAGCAAACTGTGTTTGAATTTTTACAGCGGCATCCAGGCCTGTTCACCCGGTCATAACACCCCTGGCACAATTTAAGGCAACCCTTGGCTGGAAGGTAACACCATAAACAAGGCAAAAAGAGGGACATGACCCCCATGGCCGACCAACGTGTACAACAGTGAGACTGGCTACAGGAACACGGGTTGTCAGCACAGTTGTCCTCGTCATCGTTAGAACAGTGATAGAAGAGACCTTTCACACAGCACACACAGGTCCCATAGTCAATCACGTTCTGGGCCGAGCAGAGGCACTGCTTGTCGCAGATCCAGTCTGACGGCAGAGGCCTCGGGTACGTGCACTCCTTACACTTGCACTTGCCGCAGTCCTCACACCTGTAGGCGTGCAGCCCCAAATCTTCCTTGCTCAGCGGCTTAAGCTCACCTGGCTTGAGCTCTGATTTGGGCTGCACCCGGATTATCCCGTCAGCAACAGGCCCGGAGGAGAAGGATGAGCCTAACAGCCTCTGTTCAGAGGAACTGCTGCTGGTGCTTGTCCTGGTACTGCTCCGAGACCCCGAGCTGACCGTGCTGATGGACCTGGACAGCGGGGCCCGCGCAGAAGCAAGGGCCTGCGAGGGCTGGAGCCTGGGAGGCTGGCGGTGCTCGGGCAGACCGTGGAGTCTCTCATGTTTGTGCTGAGCGGAGGGACGAGGAGCAGGCTTGAGCCCAGGTCTGGGGACCACGGTCGGCCCCTCTGTGTACTCATTGGTGTTTCGGATGGCTCTGATCTGGTCCAGAGACAACACATGTACCTGCTGGGTGAGGGCGTCTCTGGGGTCGGGCTCCCCTCGCTGCCTGCCACCGTCACGGGGTGCCTGCAGCAAGGGCTGCGACCCGCTGCCACTCTGAGCTCTGGCCTCCATCAGGTCTTGGAAGTGTAGTCACTCCAGCAGGCTTAGAACACATCTGAATTCCTGGGGAACCAAGAGGAAAGAGACGATTTACACTCCAGGATACTTCCCACTCTCCACCTACCTGAGTTAACTCTTCACTTCCCACTTCCCCTAGAGAAACAGGACCTGAAATGGAGTGGCTATGGAGGGTATTAGAATATCCATCTGATCAATGCCTGTGCCAAAAAGTAAAAATTATGACTAGGTACTGACAATTATTTAATCCTGTGATGTGTAGTGACACAAAGCCGATCTTTGTTCCAATCACGTAACAATTCCTTATTCAAACAAGCATAAAATTTGCAAGGTTCAGGTTCAGTGTAAAAATTGCGGGAAAGTAATGTTGGAATATAACACTGCCAACTGACATTTTCAAAAGCTGAATACCTTTTCAAATTTTGAAATAGGTTTAAATTGATCATGGTCATTTTTGCCTTAAGTATCAATAAATACAGCCTAGAAATTCTTAGCTTTTACTTTCAGTCTGCTTTTATATCAAATATCTTGAACTATGATTTATCTAGTATTCTGTAACTTTATGAAACTCCATAGAATGAATATGACGTGCAAAATGTATTTCCCCCAAGGAATACTTATACATTTTATATAACAATCATGCATTATCATTAACTATATGGTAGCACAAAGTTATAGAATTAAAGACATCAATTCAAATCCCATTAGATGCCAGGAAGACAATCAAGCCAACTTACACAATGAGCAACAAAAAGACAGGAACTAATTTTCTTCAACTTAACAACTTAAGAATCACATATTTTTCAACCTGATAGCCCAGAAAATTCTTTTCTCCCTGTTTTAGAAATAAATTATGTCAGAATCTTAACTGCTTTGCCCGTTTCCAAAAACCTAGTAATTGAGAACATAAACTGATCGGTGGTAATAGAAAGTGTTTTAAAAATTCAAGTGTCACATCTCAAATCTATCATCCTGACAAGTAACAGTTTAAATTGTCATCTCTCTGTGAATTCTGAAACTACCATCCCTTTGCCAAGTCTACAATGACTAAAAATGCGCAAAGGTGGACCTGCAGCCAGTCTCCAGTTTTCAGAAAAGAGACACAGGCAGGTTAACATACGTATTCCAATGAGGAAAAAAAGCAGAGCTGGAAACCAGATCTCTGCTCTAACAGAAAGGCAGACAGGACAGCATTGCTCTTTGCTTTCACTCCATTTATCGGCTCTTTATCTGCGCCCCAACACCGTCCCCAGCAGGTGGGATACAGTTGGAGCCCCAGGGGACTTTGCTCCGGGAGGACCGGCACAGGCCAGAGGCCAGGCTAACCCCCCTGCGCACAATTCCGAGACAGACAGGCGAGGGGCGCGGGCGCCTGGGAAGCGGACGTGCCCTGAAATGCTAGAGCACGCTTCTCTCTCCCTCCCTCCCTTCCCGGCTGGAATCTCCCCCACCCCAGAGAACTGCCTCCCAACTCCAAGAGAGCGAGCCACTCCACCCTCAGGCAGAGGTCACGCAGCCCACCACGGGACGTTCCAGCCAAGGCACTGAACGTCGGGCACTGGTTTCCAGTCCCGACGCAGCGTGGAAGAAAGCCCTGCCTTAGACACACAGCCCGGAGACGGAGGTCTAACTCATGCACACCGGGCGACTCCACCCTGCGCTGACCCAAGGGGCACTGCCTGCAATGTGCACACGCCTATATATTAAATATATATATACACACACACACGCGCGCGCGTGCGTATATTTCTTGAAGTCAAAGAAACACTACTTTTAAAAGAACTTTCCAGGGCCCCACTGCACAGCCAGGAACGCCAAGACCCGATCCCTGGGCTGGAAACTTTCCCCGCAGATTTGCTTGCAGTTGGAAGTAGCATCATTAGAGGAAAGAGGGGCTTTAAAAAGTGATTTCAGCTGATCCCTGGCCTCCTTCGCAGCGCCCCCACTTCCCCTCGAACCCCCGCCAGCTTTGAAAGTGCTTTGAAACCCCCATTAAGAACAGTGTGTGATCAGACTAAAGATTAGGGGAAAAGGACTTCAACACAAGCACAAGGGTGGGGCAAACCAACACAGAAAGCGCTTTATAAAAACGCATACGATTCCAAATTAAAAAAACAGGCAGCAACAACAAAAAAGTAGATCAGTCCATCAAAGAAAAAAAAAACCTAGCTTCTTTTTCCACCTATTTTCAGGTAATGGAAAATGATCACGACCGCTTGACGACTTCCTGTGCTGGGTCAACCCAATCTCCCAAAAATAAAAAAAGCGTGACACAGGCAGACCAAGGCGAACGGAAAAAAGAGAAAGCTGCACTTCCGAACCGCAGAGACGCGGCGCCAGGCAGGGCGACGCTCTCACCAGCTCCGTGCTCCCTCTGTCCCTCTGTCCACACCGTGCAGAGGCGGGGGCTCCCCCCACCCGGCACTCCGTCCTTTTTTCACCAGCGGGGTCTCGCTGCCCCCGTGAGGCGAGCAACCCGCGCTCCCCTGGTCCTGGCGGCGCCCATGCCTCGGGATAGCCTCTCCCAGGACTTGCCTTCCCCAAGAGAGGAGCAGGTTAGAAACGCGGGCGCCTGCAAAGGCGACCTGGGAAACACAAAGTTTTCCCTCCCTCTCCCGCTCTCAGCGCCCAGTTCGCGTCCAGTGCACCGCCGGGAGCTGACCTGGGGCTAGCCGACCACCACCCCAAACCCCCAGAGCACAGGCACATGGGGTCCTGGGGCCGGGGACACTGCACCGGCGCGCATCGCAGCCCCCGTGGAGGCAGGCCAAGCCGGAGGCAAGACACATTTCTGGGCTGCTCCTGGGATCCCGCGGGGAAACTGAGGGGTTAGAGAAAGGCAGGCGGGAGGAGAGACAGACCCCACTCTCAGTCTGGCTGCATCTACTCCATGTTGCCCACAACACGCCGGCCACGGCGCGCAAGGAGGGGAAAAGCCAGCCAAACCCGCCTCACCGTGTTCGCGGCTTTGCACCAACCCCTCCGTTGGATTCTGTTCTTCCTGCGATGTGCAAATAAATCCAGCCCCGATGCGAACTTTCCCTCTCTTCCTTCCAAACTCTTCTTCAGTCTAACTTCAGAGCAATCGGCAGGGGGAGAAAAGGAGAGGAGACAATCCGGAGTCAAGCGTCCAGCCGATGAACACTTTGGGCTTTGGGGCTGGAGGCGACCCCCCTTCTAGAAGCGCACGCGGAGTATTTCCTCTTTTTTCTCAATGAACTGGAGGCCGAAGCACCAACAGCGAGTCTCTTTTCCTGGCAGATGAGCAAATGAGAAAAGAAAACAGCCTTATAGAGAATCTAAAGCCAGATGGCCAAGTCCTATGGCCCCGGCAGGGTCGGAGCACAGGCAGCGGGCTGGGCCGGGCGGGCGCGGGGGCCTGGGCGCTGCGCGCTCCGCCGGCCCCTCTCCTCCGCTCGCGCTGCGGCGCGCAGCTCTTGGCGGTGCAGACTGGGCGTTGTGGAGGCACGGGGGCGAGGCCGAGGCGGGGGCGGTGGGTGAGGAGGAGGAGGAGGAGGAGAAGGAGGAGGAGGAGCAGGAGGGTCTGGGGCCCGGCTGGGGGGGCTTGCCGTTGGCCTGCGCCCTCGCCTTTCCGGAGGAGGCAGGGAGCTCTGCGGCGGCCTCGGCAGCAGTAAATGGCGTCATGTGGATCCGAGGCGGAACAGAGCAGTTGTTGTCCCAGAGGATATATCGCATCCGGTCCCAGCTCATTGGCTCCGCGGGGCTACATTCACTCACACTCCAGCGCCCGCCAGCGCTCGAGCGCAGGAGGCATTCAAAAGGGCAACCGCGCCGCCCCGCGCGTCCCCAGGCCGGTCCTGCCGCCCGGGCGCCGTCCTGCGGGGTGCCCGCAGGCCGGCTGGGCACGGCGGGGTCAGTTTACCTAGTTTCAAGGAAACACTGACTTTAAGGTTTCTCCAGAGGCCATGAGGACGAGCGGTAGCTCGGACTGATTTTAGGGCAATTTCTCCTAGCAACTAGGATAAGGGAACCAACATTTAAAACTAATCCGGGCAGGCAGTGTTAGCATTAAAAACAAGTTGCAGATTTTCAGACTTTATTCGGAATCCATTTCAAGCTACCTCTCCGCTTTTCTGTTCCCCCCTCGAGGGGGCGACGGGGAGAGGAGAAGGGGGAGGAGAAGGGGAGCGGGAAGTGAAGTGGGAGGGCTATTGGTTTATTCTTTGTCTACCGGATTAACCCGATTATACACCAGGCACCAGCACAAACCGCCTCCCCCACCTCAGAGCCGCCAAAGAGAGGAACGGAATGCAGATTCGGGTTTCAAGCACCTTCTGCTGTTGCTGGGATTTGCTTTTGATTGTGTTGATTTGTAGTTTTTCGATTTTATATTAGATTTTATTTTAAAAGAGGAAGTTAGCCACAGATGGAGACTTTTTGAAGATCTTTCTTACTCTTTTGTTTGACGCAATTGCCGAAGGAAATTCTACAATCTAGGCCTTTTTAAAATTAGTTAATTCAGTCATACACATATACACGATTACTAAGGGAGACATCATGGGTTTCTGAAAAGCGGGGGGGGGTGGTCGCTGTTTCATTGAAGATTTCCTCCTCCACTTAACCAGAAGCGTCATCCTTCATTTCCGATTATCCTTGTCATGTAGAACATTTCTCAAGAAAATCCTATTGTCCATTTTGAAGGTGGTCTGGATTTTCTTACTTAGAAAAATAGAAATAAAAAGATAGAAAATGCACACATTATGCACTGCTCTAACTGCCATTCATTAAGTAAGAAATGTCCTTGCACCTGGGAGAACTAGTGGGAAATGTACACCACCCTTCCAACATACTCCTCACATTGGATTCTAATGATTTCCAGAATGGTTTTACTTTACAGGGAAGTACGGTCAAAACTCCAGAATAGCACCTGCGAGCTTGCCGTGCTGGGGTTAGAGTTCTTGAAACAGTGCTAGGAAAACGTGGTGCTAGATTCCCCCAGGGTCGGCTCCAGCCCACATCCGTTCACAGCTACCCTGGCATTCGCTGCCTTCTCCCGATCTCTCCTAGAACGTCCCAGGCGCGTTCCTGGCGGCATTGCGCTCTCGCCCTGCCTTCTCCATGTTTCTCTAGCGCTCTCCCTCCTCACCCGGGGTTTGGAACTAGAGGTGACAGGGGAAGTGGCATGCGTTATTTCCGGGCGCTGGCCTACGTCCCCCAACCCCTCCGGTGAGGGTGGAGGAGGTTACGTCGGGTCTGCTCCTCGACGTCCCTGGGGCTGCGGACGCGGGAAGACGGGGTCTCTCCGGCGCACGCCGTTCGCCCTACGCCCCAGTGCTTTGAGCCTTAGGGTGAACGCAGGCGCCGCTGTGCTCACGGACCGTCCGGCCACCAGGGGGCGCCCACCCGGCGCGGGGCTGGGCTGCTTTCTTCCCCTGGACTCGACGAGGGCAGGCGGGATTGCCTTCCAGAGTGTACCTCCGGCCGGCTGGTTCACAGTGAATAAAAACACATTTATAATGTAAGTGCAAGAATAGGTGGCTTTTCCCACCATCTCCTCGGACACATTCCGTTTGAATGCGAAATGAGGTACCCAGGTGCAGTACCCTAGCTTTTACCAAGGGGGGACGGAGTTGGGGGCCAAAGCCGGGGCATGCACGGCTGGCGGGAACGCGTCGCCTGCGTCCGCCCGACAAGTCTCGGAGCAGGTGAAAGAAACGCCTCCTCCCGCTTCCCCTGCACCCGGTGACTGCTTTTTCCGAGACACTTGTGCCCAGGCTATTCTTCCAGCGCTGCAGGAACTCTGTGAAGACACGTTGTTCTGGATCAAAGCGTAAAATGCAATTTAAATTAGGAGCTTCCGGCTGGTTAGAACACCTATTTTTATTGGGTCAGTGGGGAAGAATCTAGGAATTTATACTTATCTTTCATGAGCTAGAAAGAATCCCATGTAATCTAACTCTTTCCTCCCTCCCCCACAGCCGCCGGCTTGCAAGCTGGGAAAACATTTAACCTATAATTTAAGTACAAGGTAAAAATGAGAATCTGTTGGATTCTTTATAATTTACTCCTTACTATTTATTTTATTTAGTGCAGTATTATTTTTCGGACGTGGTGTATAAAGCAATATACTGTGGCTCCAAAGTTTACTTAGTTTAGTCCCAAAGAGGAATTATGTTTCTCTGGACGTCTGTGCGTGCACACACAATGAAATGTTTGATGCAGTTATTGTAATGTGTCCAAAATTGCTTCTCATGTTACATTCCAAAATTATAACTGGGGTTCATTTTGGAAGATACTTTAGAATTTTGAAAGAATGTTATGTAAAGCTTCACAATGAAGCCCATTTTCAAACGTGTTGTGGAGAGTTCTGGAGAGCTAACCATGATGTGTGAACAGGTGTTTCTGTTTCCCTAATGTTGAAAAACACCAAATCCTTGCAAAGTCGTGCTGCACCAGTACTCACCTCCAAGTTCTCTGGAGGCACCAAGTAATGTGGCCTGTTAGTCCTAGCCACTGAACAGGACTGTGTGTCGTGCTTTTGGGATCTTGTCTCTGCTTCATTTAATTTTCTGAATTCATTCTTTAGATTTATTTCATTTTATAATTGATTATCTTTAATTTTTTTTTTAATGAGGCAGCATATAAACCTACGTGACTTTTGCCTCCTCCAGTCTTTGTGGAAGGCATTAACAGGGATAGCGTTGATGTGCTTCTTTACAAGTAGGTTGTTGGCCAAGTTAAGCCCCATATTTTCACGGTGGCACTTATTCATCTAAGCTTCTGGTTTATGTTGTAGTCATGGGAGAAATGTAGTTTTAAACAACTCTAGTTCTAGTTTCTTTGTGCGATTGACCAAACCAGTTGACCTTACTGGGCTCAGACCTAGTTTTGATAATCAAAGAGATACCTTGCAGTGATACAAAGAAAATTGATTATTTGGTAATTTTGTTAGTTTTATAACCAAGGCAACTAATTTATATGTTCATATTTAAAGATCGGCCAGAACACAATGGTGTATACTGCTTTCAAGTGTAACAATTCAGATCTTTCAGCCATTATTTCTCCTCATATTCCAGTTGCAATAGTAAACTTAATTTATGCATGGACTCTTCTGGGAGTGACCTTTGTAAGTTAAAGGGCTTTGCAATAATGGACCTTTTGATTTGGCAGCCAGGACTGTAGTCATTTCGCTTTTTGAATTGCTTTGATTCTCCAAATTCTATAGATATTGCCTCTTGGAGGGAACTGGGAGTGGCTGTGATAGGAGTTCAAAATAGACCACTTGAGTTCTTATCTACATCTCTTGGAGGACTGGGGAAAGCTTATCTCTGCATCTGACCTTCTTTGGTGTGTCCTTTTATCCTTTAACCCGTAACAGGGGGAGGGGGGAGCAGATCTGGAGTTATCCTGGATAAGAGGAGTGGTTTGATGAGTTGATCTTGAACTGGAGCCTCTGGTTGGCCTAGTCTTTTTCAGAGATCTTATATTCAACCTGAATCCACCTGATGGTTTCTACTGGTTAATCAATTTCCCTGCTAGCTCTGTGCAATTATTATTACAATTTATGCAAAGTCAGATGTGGACTGAAGTTCTGTAACAAGGCAAAACAAAATTTCTCTGCTGGCCAACATTTTTCTCATTATATTTCCAATATATTTATCTTCTGCCCTCAAGGTCAAGCTTCTTCCTTTGTAGGACTGATGTGTGCAGAGAAAGTCTAATCAGTGAGATCACTGCATTGTTGCTTTGCCTTTTCCCCAAAGCCCTAGGTTTGTTAGTTTTATTCTGTTTGTTTTTAACAGTAGATGCCCTTTGTTCTGGGATCTTTTTAACCCAGATGGTAAAGCCTCATTAAAGTGAAAATCATAAATCAAAACGAGGATTTGGATATTACCAAGCTGAGTAGCAGTAGGAAGATTTTAGCCTCTGAATAAAAAGGAGGTGTTGGTTTTATACTTCCCATTATGTGGACACATGATCAAAAGGGCACAGGAAGTTCAACCTGTTCTCTAAGGAAGATGTAATCAAACAGATTCCACGATAGCTATTCTTATAATCCAGAGGTCATAATATCCAGGCTGTCAGCCAGCCCTGAATTAATCTCAGTTAACAGGTCAGGTCTAAAAATGTTCAATTTGGTAAACAGAATATAAGTGCATTCAGATTCAGTTTGTTTGTTCCTTTGGACAGGAGGCGTTTTGAACATGCAGTGAATTATGAATATTTGAGAATATTGTGGAGTTATATAAAACAGCTTTTCTATGCAAACTCTGTATTCAGTGTGACTCTTCAAGATGCTAGACCACTCCAAGGATCTGAAGACTCTATAACAGGACAACCTTGGACTTCTTTGTTAGTGGACTTGAATTGAACTAGAAAGATTCTTCACCACCTCATTCTTTAAAAGAAGAAAATATTCACTCTGATCTCTGTAAACATTAGATACTCAATAAGTATTTTTCAATGAGTGAATGAAATTAGTGGATATAATTAAAATAAATAAATATTTTTTGCCTCAGTTTTCTAAAAGCAGATAAAGAGTTTTTGAATTTTTAGTGGCAGAATTTAAGACATTGTGTTAGCCTGGAAGTTACTATTGTATTTCGTATAATTATTGGATAGTAACTGAAGTAAGTTTGTTAAGGCCATGATTTTTAATTCTTTTTTGTTTTTTTTAACATTTTTTATTGAGTTTTAGTCATTTTACAATGTTGTGTCAAATTCCAGTGTAGAGCACAATTTTTCAATTATACATGAACATACATGTATTTATTGTCACATTTATTTTTCGCTATGAGCTACATGATTTTTAATTCTTGAAATAGTAAATATTACAAAGTTAAAAAAATTTTGAAAATTTTATGTATTTGGAAGGAAGTTTATAAGGGACATCTATTCTAAAACTGTGTAATAAAGAAAATAACAAAAAAAGTTGATCATAGGCAGCTGGGGAATATAAATAAAAGTAAACTCTTAAGAATTTTTTACTTTAAGAAGTGCATCTGGCTAAAGTCTAACTATATTAATAATTAAAATTCAAATTTAGAAGTTAGCACTTTGCTAACTTTGAGAATGCATTTTTAAAATAGCTCCAAGAAAGCCATCAAATAGTGAATGATTTTTGCCTTTCATGTTCTATATGAAAATCCTCTTGCAGTTTTGAGAACCATCTCACTCTGTATACAGTGCAGAGACATACTTGCATTCTAAAAGATGTTAAAAGCATGTACAGGGAAAATTAGATCTTCCTCTTTTTTTTTTAAGCTGTAATTTCTAAAGGAAAATGGTAAAGGTTGAACTTTTAAATACCATAATAGGTTCCAGAGGCTTTGGGAGCTCAAGAATTCTGGAACGGGGTTCAGTGCAGGACATTTTGGAGAAATCTGATCAGGATCCCCTGATGCTTAAACCCCGACCCTTGGCTTCTCCTTTTTCGTGGGGTAAAGATCCAAGTCCTTAACCCAACTTCCTGGTCCTACAGTCCAGCCCTTTTCCCTGCCCAGCCTTCTGTATGTCACACTGTCCTGTTTTCTGCCTTGCAGCTATGAGTATTCCCTTTTATTTGCTCAAAAGTACCCCTCTCTTGTAACCAGGACCTTTGTATATGCAATTCCCCTTTTCACTTTTCTGGCCTTTTGCTGGTTTAAGTCCTACTTATCTTTCAAATCTCTATTGTCTTTCTTTCAGGAAAGCTTTTTCTGACCCTTTGACTAGGTCAGATGTCCCTTGTTCCTCTCCTGACCTTCTCTGCTACAAATATACGTGTAATTGAGTGATCATTTATGAACTGTCTCCTTCACTGCATTCTAAGTGCCATGAGGGCTGGAATCCAAGCCACATGTTGCCTGCCATTCTATCCCCAGCACTGAAGGGCCTGGCACATATCAGTCACTTAGACATTTTAAAATAAGATGAATGAGTGAGATCATTAACCTTAGTTCCCATCTGTAAAAGAGTTGCTGTTAGGATTGGATGATATGAATTAGCTACAAAGGCTAGCATATGGGATGCTCTGAATAAGCAGTGATAATTTCAGTTAAATTGAGCTTGGTAGTTTATTGGGTAAAATGATCTGTTTTGCCTCCATATTTTCAAAAAGTTTTAAAATTACATAGTGAGCACAATTTATGTATCTTATTTGTTTATACTTACGTAGGAATAAAAATAGAGATTTGGAACAAGTTTCAATAGCTATATTCAGCTATTAATAGTATTTCTATAGAAACCTTAACCTTACATCGATTTTTGTTTTTATGTGTGACTTTCTTAGAGTAGGTAGGGGAGAAGGGACCTATTTAGCTGATGTGGTTGTTTCTGACTGGAGTGTCTCCTCATCGAATTACTTGTTCAACAAATCTAGAGGCTTGAAAAATGTGAGTTCTGTCTTCTTTGAGAGTGACTTCAACATTTGGGCTCTTATGCAACACTGAGTCTTTAACTGTATATTTTTGGGATGGAGCCTTGTGTCGGCAGCTCCATCCCCTGTCAGGTAGAAGGCACACCTTCACTTACGTTTAA